GCCCCCTTGTTGAAATGCAGAAATAGTGGCATCTCCGGTCAGCTTGTCAGCCACGTACCGGAACCCCGGCCGCGGGGTCTAGACCATCAAGATAACATGGCCATGCAGCTCGAACCCCGATCATGAAGGTCTGCAGAATGCAACAATATGGTCTCCAGATCGGAAGGAAACCATAGGACATTCAAGACAGCCTCGGTCGACGCAATGAGATGGACTCGGTGTCACCGTAAGTGACACATTTCTTTTATCACCTGGTTGGGTTCGGCAGTGGTGAACGGATGGTGGTGGGCCATGCTGTGGCGTAGCTGCTGTCGACGTCTCATCAGTTGTGTTCTCGAAGTCAATTGGGCCAGAGTCTGGAAGCAATTGCAAGATGATAGAGCTGCATATTGAAGATCTTGCTCTTTTGGGGCCACCACTACCAAGTTCGACAAGCGCAGAGCCACCTCCAGCCACCAACAGGGGTAACTTGAATGAGTTGCAACGGGTTGAAGAACGGATGTTAGTGGCGAGCGCTTTCGCGGCTCGTTGCTCAAATTTGATGCATCAGTTGTTAGGGCACGGATTGGCTTCAGTTTGCTTTTGTGTTCATGGCACGGATACAAGACGGAATTGGGCGTCGCCTAAGGGACCCCTGTTTACTAATTGGGGGGTGAAACATCAGCGGCCGTTAAGTTTTTGCCCCAGACACTTTCAGGTTTGGGGTTGGGCTTGGAATTTTTTGCAAAAGCATCTGGAGACTGACAGACAGCTAGCAGCTAGCCTAGCCTAGGCACCCACAGAAGCAGGGGAACAGAGGCTAAGCGGTGAGTGATCTACGACAAACCGGAAGGATTCCTCATCATGTCCATGGTCAAATTTTATGTGCATCGCTTCAATGAGGCTGATCCACGGCTCAAGTGGCCTCAGCGGTCAGGTCAGGTCAAGGCAAGTTAAGTCAAGTCCCGTCGGAGAGGGTCTTCCGGGGTGGGTCATGACATTGAGGATGGAGGTTGCACTGCAAAATGATGCATATCAGCCGTGTGATGAGATAAGATGCGATACGATATGCGATTTCCGCACTGCATTGCGGAAATACGAACATTTTTACAGGGGACTTTTTGCTTACTCCAAGCGGAGAGTTTACTCCTGCGAGTCCAGCGTCCAATCAGGCATCGACAAGGGGAAAAAACAGCCCGGAGCCATCTCCGGATATTGCAACGCATTGCTGCAGACATACATACTTGACTTTGCAGGGGAAAACAGCCACCTATACCCCCAGTGGCATGGATCTTACAGAAGAGTTAGAAATTCATACTGTGCTGTGCTGCTGGTATGCACCAAATGAGGGGAAATGGGCAGTGATGGTGTCGAGATGCCTCATTGACGTCATAGCCTCAACTGCCGTTTGCTAGAAGATTCTACGAAGAACACGATTGTTCTGATCGACTGGAATGCAACATTCTATAACTTTCGCCGAGGACAGTCAAGATTGGGCTTGGATACTGTTGCCACAATGGCTATTGGCTGCGTGCGCACGATAGCATATGACGAACCAGTGAATACGATTAGCCACGGGGCTTACGAGTCTCAGTTCTCAGTTCTCTTACCTAAAGTCGGGCAGATATTTACAATACCTGTCGGGCCACCTGAGGGCCTCCATCGGCTGGCTATGCCATTCTGAGCATAGAGTCAATCAGCCAGCCATCCTACATCAAGCATGCATGCATAACCGTTTCTTCAACAAAGCACGGGCACTGGACGCGCCGCAAGGGCAATCCTTGTGCTTCCTTGTTGAGGTGCCAAGCCACAAGAATCCATTCAGAACAAGACGAGCCGAGTTGAACCCCCACGCAATCTATACACGCTGACGTCCTAGCCTGTTCAGCCTCGTTGTCTTTCCAAGAGCGGATGCTTTGGCCCTTCTCGGGGTGACAAGTTCTCAATACCCATTGTATTAGGAGTCGAAGCTTCTAGTTCCTTCGCTTACAGCAGGGGATACAGCTGTCCGAGGACTAGGTGACTTTGATGGCTTGGGCTTCATCACGGAAGGTGTTGGTAGGGATACCGGACCTTTCTCAAACAACGGTGTAACTAATCAACAAGCTCCATTAGTCGGCGCCTCTCACGCAGTGGGACTTACACGTTGTAAGTTAGAGAGACAACTAGTTCGGCAGAAGTTGAGGTATAGCGGTAAAGGCTGAAGACTAAGGGGTTTCTCGCGGCTGACACAGATGAGTTTGCGCGTTCTGTTGGCGTATTTCCATCGCGAGAGAAGTGACTCATTTGAAGAAAAAATAAGACTCTTAAAGAATATCACCGAAAGGGGCAAATGTGCCATTACGAGTCATAATGTCTTGGAGTAAGAGAAGAAGCTCTTGGATTGTGCTACTGTAAGTGATGAGCAACTACGTTTGAAAACTGCTGACCACACAAAGACAGGAACCAGATGAAACCACCGGAGCTGATTTGATTATTCACCGCTCATTTCTTTCGGAGGGGGATCCTTGGTGCAATTCCTGACGTGTCGTTGCATTCGTAAATTGTTTCTTGAGCTTTATCACATCGAGCCGCTGCAAAAGCTCCGCCCCTGACTCGGACTGTTGATCACCTGCTGTGTCGTGTCAACGGACTGACGGATTACCTCCTTTACTCTATTCACATTAGGGTATAACTTGTGCTCATGGGGTGGAATTGCTAAGCTATCTTCTGCCTGCGGAAGGTTACGTGGACTCGTGGAGCTGAGTGACTCACGGTGATGTTAAGTAGGAACTTGAGGGAAGATTCTCCGAAGAAATGGGTTGCGAGGCGTCCTTTAGAATTTTGAATTTCGTTGACACGAAATTCTGAGCTGCGAACCTAGGAGAATAAGGAAATTCGGCCAGCAACGAAGCTTTGATACCCGAGTCTTTTTTATCAGTGAGATTGCCCCCTGAAATCTTGTCGATCCAGTTGCCATGATCTATATGACTATGCGCCTTTCAAGCTCTTTTCTCATCCCTTGGCCAAGTTGACAGAGAAGGATATCAATCAAAACTTCCCGCATGCTAAGGGATCGAAAGAATTGGAAACCTTCGTCCAGTATGTATGTTTTGTTGTTCTGATCAGTGATCATATAGTCCCCAGCTCCTGATTCAGTGGACAGGGAGGAAATCCTTCGCCTCTGGTCGCCTTCCTCGTCCTGATACATTAGCCTCACAGAGACTACCATTGGTTACAAGATATAGTACGAGAGGAAACGCCGTATAACTTGTACGGGGGACCTTTGGCTCCAGAGCTCCTCCGGGGGTTGTTGGCTCTCACCTTGATAAGGTAGTTAATAAACCAGAAAGTGTTGATCTGACCTGTTGGCCTTTGCTAAGGCAAATTGATGAAACATCTGTCCTTTGAGCATTTGATCCGAATTTGCATCATTTTTGTGATATTTTATGACCATACACTTTCAGGCTTGAGCTGCTTTTCTGTCCAACTTTCTCATAATGTTGCAAGCAAAAGTGCTTCTCTATGACAAGCCTAGACTCCCTGCAAGCTGCCCAGAAGCCGCCATCTCGTGAATAGATGGACTAGTATTGGAATTATGGACAAGAGTTCAGTCGACCGGTGATCAAGACGCACTATCAGGTTCATGGCGTATGAGGCTACAGCGATTGCTGGGAACCAAGGAAATGCACTCCTGGTTGGCTTGGTCAGATTGTCAACCTGCAGGCATTAGCTCTGATTTCTTAGACGAGATTTTAAAAAATAGGCAAAGACTGCGAGTATTTGAGTCAAGGGTTCAGAATTTGAAAGCAGTTGGGAAAAGATAGGAAATGGAGCGTGAGTGTGGAAAGATGTGGAGGAAGTGAGTTGGAATGAGAAGGAGAGACAACGTACTAGAAAATAGAGCTGATCGATGTTCTGATACAGGGAGTAAAGCATGTCGTCTGGAGTGACCATGATAAAAAATACAATATCCCTGACGTATTTATTGAATTGGCTAACAAGTCGACCTACTGAGGCGTATGTCAAATCCCATCAAAACGCATGAAGTTGACAGCTATGAGAGCTCATTCTTCAAGCTTTCATACTGAAGTTCTGTAGCTAGAGCCTAATGCCCCAGATCTGCCTCTGTTAGACATCACTATGAAATGTCGAAGCTTTTCATGGCTGTGAAGCCCTTGGGTTGTCGCAGATGAGATTGTCACCAACCTCCAGAGAGAAAAGGTGGTCTCGGAATGAAAATTGAACCTGTTTTAAGTTTAGAACAAGCTTATAATTAGGTTACCAGAACGTGGGTAGTGATATGATCTACATAAACTAGGTGAATGCCACTCAAGAACTTTTTGGCTTAGTATAACTAGGTAGCACGAGGTACCCATCGTTTTAGTGTCATTCTAATTAAACACGCCTTCCAAAGTGCCACGAACGCGTATGGGAGAGTCAGTGCTGAGTGGTGATGGCGACAGAGGCGAAGTCGAAGTGCCAGCACTGTTAGCAGATGAAGCTACAATAAGGAAGTGCTTGTTGCGGCACTGTCTGAAGACTCAAGGCATTATCTCTATTTCACTGCCTCAGATTGCCCTTCGGCAAAAAGCGTTGAGGCTTTTTGGGAAGAATAGGGCCAAAGTCTTGATTGAAGCCGTTCGCAGTTCGCTTGGAGGAATGTTCACTCGACTGAGCTGGGTACGGTTAAATGCCCTGGTACAACCGATGTATGGAAGTGTCATATCGTTGAGACACGCCTAAGGATGATGCGGTTGAACAAGATAAGTGATGTCAATTTATGGAAGCAAATATACTAACAATCTCAATGATAACTAGCTATTATACAACGTGTGTAAATACGAGTACAGATACGGGTACAGATACAGATACAGATACAGACATAGGAAACGAATTCGTGTCAAAACCTCTTGGTCTGAGACTCGAGGATCTGACAGTGGACACATAGGAAACGAATTCGGGTCGTGACCTCTTAGAGAGTCCGACTGTAAACAGACATAGAAAAGGTATTAGGTGTCGAGACCCTACGCGTCTTGGCTTTATAGGGTCTGACTGTCGATACATCTTGCACCATCGTTCCAGGATGACGATGGACCTGTGGCCAGGAACTTTGGAGTTCCAATCGAAGGGGCGATAGGGAACTTCCAAATCTGACCGCTGGTGTTCTCTGAACCGTAGAGGTTTCCGTCTTGCGAGGCATAGGCAGCTCCCCATACGTTCTGACCAGCAATCATACCGAAGCCCTGGATGGTTGTCCATGTGTATGTCGTACGGCTGAACTTGCATAGCGTGGATGTCTTGCCCTGGTCGTCGTACATGATGGAGTACATGAAGTCGCCTCCTCCAGGGACGAAGGCCCAATCGGCAGAGTTGAGAGGGTTCTTGGCGGTGCCGCTCATGAGAATCTTGCCGTAAGTGGATGAGCCAGGCATGAGATCGATACACCACCAGCCTTCTCCCTGGTTCGAGATCCAGAAGCGACCTTGGTTATCGATATCACCCATCTGGACGAGACGATCATTGGTACGAGTGCCGAGCAGTGTCCAACCACCGTCGCCGCCGATACGGATAACTTGAGAGCCCGTGTCGTCCATGTGCATACCGTAGATGTAGTTGTCGAAACGGTTGTAACCGATGGCGTTGATCCAACCACCAGGACCGACATCACTCTTAATAAGGGTTGTCTTACCAGATGTGATCTCGACACGGTAGAGAGCCGTCTTCTGCATGAGGTAACCGTATACATCACAATTGAAGGATACAGTGGCTGCCGGCGCAGTAGTTGTAGTGCTGCTGGTGGTGAGCGGCCTGGAAGATGTTGTAGATGTAGTAGATCGGGGAGCTGGGGTTGCGATGACCACGGTGGCAGGGTCGCCAGGCTCACCCGGAGCATAAGTGGAGGTAACAGGGGTAGAGATTGTAGTGCCACCGTTTGTAGTGATTGTGACTGTGCGACTCGGTGGCATCTCGACGATGACGGTACCGGGATCGCCAGGTTGGCCAGGTGGTGAATATGTAGTGTATCGTGCAGTGAGCGTTGTCGGTCCAGCTGTAGTGACCGTGACGTTGTAAGGAGGGGGATATTGCACGATGACAGTATCGGGATCGCCTTGAGTTTGTGCAGGCGCAAAGACAGTAGTAGGTCGGGTGATAGTGCTGGCTGTTTGTGTCGTCGTGACAGTGTATTTGGGAGGTACCCGCACAATGAAGGTACCTGGGTCGCCTTGGGTAGCTGGCGGTGCGTAAGTTGTTGTAAGCCGGGAAATAGTTGAGACAGTGGTTGTGGTAGTGACATTATAAGCCGGAGGCATCTGTATAATGACAGTACCTGGATCTCCTTGGGTGGCCGGCGGTGAGTAGGCTGTTGCAACACGTGAAATGGTTGACACGGTCTCAGTCGTGGTGACGTTGTAAGATGGAGGTACTCTTACGATGAAAGTACCCGGATCACCCTGAGTAGCCGGGGGTGCGTATGTGGTTGTGAGGCGAGAAATAGTTGAGACCGTAGTCGTAGACGTGACATTATACTCAGGAGGTACCCGGACCCAGACGGTTCCGGGGTCACCTTGTGTAGCAGGGGCTGAGTATGCAGTTGTAAGTCGGGATATGGTTGAAACAGTCTGCGTTGACGTGACGTTATACGAAGGGGGCATTTGCACAACAATAGTACCTGGATCTCCCTGTGTAGCTGGGGGGTTATACGCAGTAGCCACGCGAGAGATAGTTGATACTGTTTGTGTTGTCGTGACATTGTACTGTGGTGGCATCTGCACCACAACTGTACCTGGATCTCCCTGAGTAGCCGGGGCCACATATCTGGTTGCAGGTCGAGATATCGTGGGAACAGTCTCAGTGGTAGTGACATTACGGTCAGGGGGAACCTGCACAATGAAGGTTCCGGGATCACCCTGTGTAGCTGGAGGAGCATATGTTGTAGACATACGAGTGATTGTGGGGACAGTCTGAGTGGTTGTTACATTATATGCAGGCGGCAGCCTTACCCAGATGGTGCCTGGATCACCTTGTGTACCAGGCGCAGAATAGGTGGTATATGCTCTCGAAATCGTACTGACAGTTGAAGTGACAGTGACGTTGTACTCCGGCGGTACGTCCACGTAGATGGTTCCAGGGTCTCCTTGTGTGGCAGCAGGACCATATGTTGTCCTCACACGACTGATAGTGGTGATTGTGTGGGTAACTGTCACGTTGTAGTCCATTGGGACCTGGACCAAGACCGTATTGGGGTCGCCTTGAGTGGCAGCTGGGTAATAAGACGTTCTGACCCGGCTGATCGTGCTGACTGTTTGAGTGCTAGTGACATTGTAGTCGACAGGCACCTGTACAAGGACTGTGTTGGGGTCACCCTGAACAGAGGCAGGATTGTATGTCGTTCTCGCCCGACTGATTGTGCTAACAGTTTGAGTAGTTGTGACATTATAGTCCATTGGGACCTGGACCAGGACCGTGTTAGGGTCACCCTGAGTGGCAGCTGGGTAGTATGATGTTCTGACCCGACTGATCGTGCTGACTGTTTGAGTAGTAGTGACATTGTAGTCAACGGGCACCTGCACAAGGACTGTATTAGGGTCACCTTGAACAGAGGCAGGGTTGTATGTCGTTCTAGCTCGGCTGATTGTGCTGACAGTTTGAGTGGTTGTTACGTTATAGTCAACTGGGACCTGAACCAAAACTGTTCCAGGGTCGCCTTGAGTTGCACCCGGGTTATAGGTGGTCCTAACCCGCGTGATCGCACTGTTGGTTTGGGTGGTGGTCACGTTATAGTCGACAGGGACCTCAATGAGTACGGTATTGGGATCACCCTGAGTGCCCGCTGGCATATAGGTGGTCCTAATGCGACTAATTGCACTGTTGGTCTGGGTTGTCGTCACATTGGAATCCGGTGGGACTTCAATGAGAACCGTGTTCGGGTCGCCCTTGGTGGCAGCAGGCATATATGTGGTCCTGACCCGAGTGATCGCACTGTTGGTTTCCGTCGTTGTCAGAGTGTAATCAGGAGGAACTTGAATGAGAACCGTATTGGGATCTCCTTGGGTGCCGGCGGGATAGTATGATGTCCTGACCCTGTTGATCGTGCTGATGGTTTCGGTTGATGTGACATTATAATCCGGCGGAACCTCAACGAGGACCGTATTGGGATCGCCCTGTGTTGCAGCAGTCATATATGAGGTCCTGACACGGCTGATACCACTGTTGGTCTCGGTGGTCGTGACGGTATAGTCAGGAGGAACCTGGATAAGGACCGTGTTGGGATCACCCTGGGTTCCGGCGGGCATATACGTTGTCCTGACTCTGTTGATCGAACTGACAGTCTCGGTTGACGTGACGTTATAATCAGGAGGGATTTCGATAAGGACCGTGTTGGGGTCACCCTGCGTCGCTGCAGTCATATAAGTAGTTCGGATACGGCTGATACCACTGTTGGTTTCAGTAGTTGTGACAGTGTAATCAGGAGGAACTTGGACAAGGACGGTATTAGGGTCACCCTGGGTTCCGGCAGGCATATAAGTCGTCCTGATCCTGTTGATCGAACTGACAGTCTCCGTGGATGTGACATTGTAGTCCGGGGGGACCTCGATAAGAACCGTGTTGGCATCACCCTGCGTCGCGGCAGTCATGTAAGTAGTTCGGACTCGAGTAATTGAAGTGACAGTCTCGGTTGTTGTGATAGTGTAGTCAGGGGGAATCTCAACAAGGACGGTATTTGGGTCACCTTGCGTACCAGCAGGCATATAGGTAGTCCTAACCCTGTTAATCGCACTGTTCAACTCAGTGGTTGTGACGTTGTAGTCAACTGGAACCTCGACTAGGATAGTGCCTGGGTCGCCTTCGGTTGCAGCTGGATTGAAGGTTGTGCGGACACGGCTGATAGTGCTGACAGTCTCAGTTGTAGTGACGTTATACTCCGGCGGCAGATCAACATAAACGGTGCCAGGATCACCCACGGCTGCAGGGCTTGCAAAGCGTGTGGCAGGGCGGCTGATGGTGGGGACTGTTGATGAGACCGTGACATTGGAATCAGGGGGGAGCTCAACAATGATAGTGCCAGGATCGCCCTGAGTTCCAGCTGGAGCAAAGGTGGTTGAAGGCTTTGTGATGGTCTCGATGGTCGTGGTGATGGTGACGTTGTATTCCGGCGGGAGATCAACATACACGGTACCGGGATCTCCAACTGTGCCTGGACGAGAGTAACGGGTTGTGGGTCTCGAGATCGTAGAGATAGTTTGAGTTGTTGTGACGTTAGAGTCAGGCGGAAGCTCGACGATTATAGTGCCCGGATCTCCTTGGGTACCTGCTGGGGCAAACGTAGTTGAAGGTCTTGTAATTGTGTCGACGGTAGTCGTGATGGTAACATTGTATTCCGGCGGCAAGTCAACGAAAATAGTGCCGGGATCGCCAATAGTATCCGGCTTCGAATATCTAGTCACCGGTCTGCTGATGGTCTCAACGGTTTGAGTCGTCGTGACGTTATATTCGGGCGGCATTTCGATAATGATGGTGCCAGGATCGCCTTGAGTAGCAGCAGGAGTAAATGTCGTGGACTGTCTCGTGATTGTGGGGACTGTTGTGGTTACAGTGACATTGTATTCCGGCGGAAGGTCAACGTAAATAGTGTTGGGGTCGCCGATAGTACCGGCCTTCGAGTAGCGAGTGACTGGTCTGCTGATTGTCTCAACAGTCTGTGTTGTAGTCACATTATACTCAGGAGGCATCTCAATGATGACAGTACCAGGATCTCCTTGGGTAGCACCAGAAGCAAAGGTCGTGCTCTGTCTTGTGATGCTGTAGATCGTGGTTGTGACAGTGACGTTGTACTCGGGTGGTAGATCGAGATACACAGTGCCAGGGTCGCCAATCTCAGCAGGGCTGGAGTACCGAGTGACTGGCCTACTGATTGTTTCAATTGTCTGAGTTGTGGTGACGTTGTACTCAGGGGGCATCTGGACGAGCACGGTGCCTGCATCGCCTTCAGTAGCAGGGGGTTCAAACGTTGTGCTTGGTCGAGTGATTGTACTGACAGTTGTGGTCATTGTCACATTGTGGTTCGGGGGCACATCGATATAGACAGTGCCTGGATCACCCTTCGTGGCAGCGGGCACAAACCGAGTGGCTGGGCGTGTGATCGTGGGCACGACATCAACGATAGTAGTGTTGGTGTCCGGAGGCTCTTGGACAACGACTGTGCCGGGGTCTCCTCTATTGGCAGGAGGTATATATGTTGTTCTGACCCGGGTGATTGTGCTGACCTCTTCCGTAGTGGTGACATTCCTATCAGGAGGCAATTCGATGATAATAGTACCCGGATCGCCCCTGTTTGCGGGCGGAGAATAGGTTGTATACGGAGCAGTCAGTGTAGCGATCTCGGTCGTTCTAGTCACATTCCTGTCAGGCGGGAGTCGCACAATGACAGTGCCGGGATCACCGCGGTTACCCGGTGGTGAATAAGTAGTATAGGCCTCGGTCAACGTAGGAACCTCTTCCGTGGTAGTCACGTTACGATCAGGAGGCAATTCAATGATAATTGTGCCTGGATCGCCCTTGCTTCCTGGCGGAGAATAAGTCGTGTAGGGAGCAGTGAGACTAGAGATCTCGGTAGTGATCGTAACGTTGCGGTCTGGAGGCAATTCCACGATAATGGTGCCAGGATCGCCTGGAGATCCTGGAGCAGAATATGTCGTATACGGAGCGGTGCGAGTGGGCACTTCAGTTGTAATGGTGACATTCCTGTCAGGTGGCATTTCCACGATGACAGTCCCTGGATCGCCCTTGTTGGCAGGGGCTGCATAGGTAGTATACGGAGCAGTGAGACTAGCCATCTCGGTCGTGACCGTGACATTCCTGTCAGAAGGCATCTCGACGATGATAGTACCCGGATCTCCTTTGTTGGCCGGCGCTGAGTATGTTGTAAAAGGGGCAGTCCGGCTCGCGACTTCGGTCGTGATGGTGACGTTGCGACTAGGAGGCAATTCAACAAGAACAGTGCCAGGATCTCCCTGGGAACCGGGAGGATAGTAGGTGGTATAAGGCGCTGTTCGTGAATCCACCTCAGTTGTGATGGTAGTATTGGAATCTGGGGGCAGCTCGATATACACTGTACCAGGATCTCCACGGTTTGCAGGCGCGGAGTACCTTGTGTGGGGAGAGGTGATAGTGCTGATGACTTCAGTGACAGTCACGTTGTGGTCGGGGGGCACCTCAATAATGACAGTGCCGGGATCGCCAGGCGAGCCAGGAGAAGAATATTTTGTGTAAGGAGCCGTGATAGTGCTGACCACCTCTGTGATGGTCACATTTCGATCAGGTGGTATTCCAACGATGATAGTTCCCGGATCATCTTCAGCACCGGCCGGCGAGTAGGTAGTGTAGATCGCCGTAATGGTGCTGATAGTCTGGGTCATTGTCACATTGGAAGGAGTGGCAGAACCGGGGGTCTCGATGATTACCGTACCGTTGTCGCCACGGTTCGCGGGAGGTATGTATGAAGTGACAGGACCAGTCATCGTTCGTGGGCCAGGCCTGTAGACAGTGACGTTTTGTCCAGGATCATCGGTAGTGGATGGATCTTGAGAAGTCGACACAACTCTCTGGTTCGGCATGATGATGGCGATGGTACCTGGGTCACCTGGGGTGCCAGGAGGGTTATACCTGGTGACAATATCTGTTGCAGCGTCCGAAGAGTCAGCGTCACTGGTGACGGTGACATTATAATCAGGGGTTTCAACAATAATGGTGCCGGGGTCGCCAGGTCCATCAGGAGGCGAGTAAGTTGTGAATGGCGCCGTGATCGTTGAAGCACCACGAGTCGTCGTCACATTGTAAGGACCAAGAGGTGTCTCGATGATAACGGTGCCCGGATCACCGGGAGTTCCAGGTGGGGCATACGATGAACGCAAGGTTGTGACGGTTCTTGGTGCTTCTCGTGTGATGGTGACATTGTAATCGGGTGTCTCTACAATGACTGTACCGGGATCTCCAGGTGTAGCTGGCGGCGAGTACGTTGTGAAAGGGGCCGTGATCGAGGCACCACGAGTAACAGTAACATTGTAGTCGGGTGTCTCAACAATAACGGTGCCAGGATCACCAGGAGCACCTGGAGGCGAGTAGGTGGTATATATGCTAGTAATCGAAGCGGGAGCTGCCCTTGTGATGGTGACGTTATAGGCATTGTTTGGTGTCTCGACGATGACAGTTCCTGGATCGCCTGGAGTGCCTGGAGGATTGTATGTCGTCCGTACATCAGTAATCGAAGCTGGTGCCTCTCGGGTAATGGTGACATTATAATCTGGCGTCTCGACGATAATGGTGCCTGGATCTCCTGAGGCGCCAGGAGGCGAGTACGTGGTATAGGGGGCTGTAATCGAGGCGCCACGAGTGATGGTCACGTTGTAGTCGTTGTTTGGAGTTTCAACGATTACAGTGCCAGGATCGCCAGGAGTTCCTGGAGGAGCGTAGCTTGTGCGGAGACTTGTGATCGATGCGGGCGCCTCACGGGTAATGGTGACATTATAATCTGGCGTCTCGATGATGACGGTACCTGGGTCGCCGGGCGTTGCAGGAGGCGAGTAGGTTGTGATTGTGGTTGTGATATCAGTAGGGGCTGCCCGCGTAATGGTGACATTGTAGTCTGGAATCTCAATGATGATGGTTCCTGGATCAGCTTTTTGAGCTGGGGGTGAGTAGGTAGTGAACCTTGTGGTAACACCACTGGGTGCTGTCCTTGTGATCGTCACATTTCCGTGTTCAGCCAAAGCCTGATCCAAGTAAACACTAGTTTGCGAGAGCACCGTTCCTGGCTCAGTACCACTAGGGGGAATAATGATGACATTGGTTTCCGCGCCGGTGGTACCTGCGTCGCTTCCGGCGTCGGAGTCGGACCCGGTACGTGTTGAGGGATCTCCAGGAATAGTGACTGTCGCACTGATGGTAACATAACTGTCAGTATCCGGTGCACCAGCGGATGACTCTCCCGATGTATCCACAGGTGTGTAGATGATCTGTGTTCCGGGGGTTCCATCGGTGGCGGGGATAATCTGTGTGACATTCTCGCTAGCATCAGCGAACCTGGTGTTCGGTTCAATGACAGTAAAGTCATCGTTGCTATCGCTCGGAGTCAAGGTGAGTGCATCGGGGTTGCTCGAAGCAGGTGTTGTAATGCCACTGGCCGAATCGTCAGTGGTGGGCACTGCCGATACTGAGGCGGGACCAGTAGGAACTGGAGGAGGAGTCTCAATGAGCACGGTTCCGGGATCTCCAGGGGACCCAGGAGGGTAGTAGGTAGTGTACGGTGCAGTAAGAGAATCAGGGCCGTCAGTGTAAATAGTCACGTTTCTGCCTTCCTCAGAGGTAGACTCAGCATCAGTGGCCACCGTCTGAATGAAAACAGTTCCTGGCTGGCCTGGTGTTTGTGGGGGCGCGTAACTAGTGATGGGAGTCTTGACACCCGGGGGAGCCAAGGTGTAGAGTGTAACATTGGTGCCTGGTGCCTCAGATGTAGTCTCAGAAACGGGGGCTGGCGTCTCTATGATAATCGTTCCAGGCTGTCCAGGCGTACTTGGCGGCTCGTACGAGGTCACAGGGGCGGTGATGACTCCTGGGCCAGGATACTGACGCACAATGGTGATGTTGGGGCTATTGTCACTAGGCGGGATCGTGACAGGCGGGGGAGTAGTAGCCTCGGCCTGAGTCTCAACGATGATAGTACCGGTTCCAGAGACAGGAGCAATGGTTGTGACAGTAATTGGCGCCGTAAGTTGACCAGTGCCAGTGTAAATGGTGTAGACGGTAACATAAACATCCTCGGGTGCCGAGGTAGCTGCGGCTTCAGGTGCTGGTGTTTCAATGATAACAGTCCCTGGGTTGCCATCAGACGGGGAGATGGTCGTAACCGTGACGGGCGCTGTTATCATAGGGGTTCCTGTGTAAGGCCTGAAGACCGTCACGTAGCTATCGTCTCCAGCAGGAATAGTCAGAGGAGGGTTCGCTCCCTTGTTTGCGGTTTGCGGACCCGGTGTCTCAATGATGACAGTACCTGGCTGATCACCCTGGGGAGGAATGGTTGTGACGGTAACTTCGCCTGTAATCTCTCCTGTACCAGTGTAAGGCTCATAGATGGTGGTATATGAGGGAGCTGGTGTCGAGGTAACAGGAGGCTCAGAGCCTGGTGTCTCGATGATCACGGTTCCTGGCTGGTCCCCTTGAGGTTCGATTGTCGTGATTGTGATCGGTGCAGTGATCTGGTCAGCACCAGTATGAGGTCTATATACTGTCACATATGAGGGCTGAGGAGCAGGTTCTGGTGAAGAGGTCACTGCTGGCTCAGAGCCAGGTGTCTCAATGATCACAGTTCCTGGCTGGTCTCCTTGAGGCTCAATGGTGGTGATGGTAACTGGTGCAGTGATCTGATCCGCGCCCGTGTGCGGTCGATAGACTGTCACGTATGAAGGTTCAGGCGCAGGGGCTGATGTGACTAGAGGCGCGGATCCAGGCGTTTCGATGATGACGGTTCCAGGCTGATCCCCGGATGGTTCGATAGTGGTCAGTGTAACTGGAGATGTTATCTGATCTGTACCAGTATATGACTGATAGATCGTGATATATGAAGGCTCAGCAGCTGGGGTTGAAGTAAGAGGGGGCTCCGAGCCAGGGGTTTCAATGATAACCGTGCCTGGCTGATCTCCTTGGGGAGAGATAGTTGTAAGTGTAACAGGCTCAGTAATTCTATCAGATCCAGTATGTGGCTGATAGATCGTCACATATGAAGGCTCCGGGGCAGGTCCCGACGTCAGAGAAGGCTCCGCTCCTGGTGTCTCAATGATCACGGTACCAGGCTGGTCGCCTTGAGGAGGGATCGTCGTAAGTGTGACAGGCTCGGTGATTCTATCAAAGCCGGTATGTGGCTGGTAGATTGTGATATAGGAGGGTTCGGGCGTAGGTCCTGATGTTACAGGGGGTTCTGCACCTGGTGTCTCAATGATCACGGTACCTGGCTGATCGCCTTGGGGAGGAATGGTTGTGATAGTGACGGGCTCAGTAATTCTATCGAGCCCAGTATGGGCCTGATACACTGTAATATAAGATGGCTCAGGGGCCGGCGTCGACGTGATGGCAGGCTCCGAACCTGGTGTTTCGATGATAACAGTGCCCGGCTGATCTCCCTGTGGAGGAATAGTTGTGACAGTAACAGGGGCAGTGATTCTGTCTGGGCCAGAATGAGGCTGGTAAACCGTAACATAGGAAGGCTGTGCAGCACTGGTGGACACGACTCGCTGGGCAGGAGTATCAAAGATAATGGTGCCGGGCTGGTCACCTTGTGGCTCAATAGTAGTCTTGACGAAAGGCTCAGTAATGTCATCGGTGCCGGAGTACTCCTCATAAAGTGTCGTGTATGTTGGAGCAGGAGGCGATGTAGTGACAGGGGGTTCTGCGCCAGGGGTTTCGACCACAATCGTACCTGGCTGGTCACCAGATGGGGCGATGGTCGAAACCGTAACAGGCGCAGTGATTCTGTCGATACCAGTGTGAGGGCGATAAATCGTGACAAATGGGGCCTGGGTCTCGATGACAACAGTTCCGGGTTGGTTCCCTGAGGGAGGGATGGTAGTAGCTGTGATTGGCGCAGTGATCTGATCGGTTCCAGTGTAAGGAATAGTTGTCGTGACATACGAAGGGGGCGTGGCAATGACAACGGTGCCAGGCTGGTCGCCTTGAGGGGGAACCGTTGTGAGAGCTGTAGGCCCAGTAATCGAATCGGTGCCAGTGTAAAGCACCGTTGTTGTGACATAAGATCCGGGAGTTCCCACAACGACCGTGCCCGGTTGATCACCTTGGGGTGGAATGGTTGTCAACGCTGTGGGGCCAGTAATCGAGTCAGATCCGGTATACAGAACAGTCGATGTGACGTATGATCCTGGTGTTCCAATAACAACAGTTCCAGGCTGTCCACCCTGTGGAGGAATCGTTGTGAGGGCAGTCGGCGCTGTGATTACACCTGTTCCAGTATAAAGTGTTGAAATTGTCATGAAAGGACCTTGTGTCTCAACAATGACAGTACCAGGTTGATCTCCTTGAGGGGGGATCGTAGTGACGGTAGTGGGCTCGCTGAGTATCTCTGTTCCAGTGAACAGAGTAGTGATAGTGACGTATGATGGCGCAGGTGGTGTAGTTGTGACAGCAGGGGCCGCGCCAGGAGTCTCAATGATGATCGTGCCAGGCTGATCTCCTGTGGGAGCAATGGTCGAGACGGTGACTGGACCGGTGATCTGATCCGGCCCTGTATGCGGACGATAGACTGTCACAAACGGAGCCTGTGTTTCAACGATGACAGTTCCCGGCTGGTCGCCTTGGGGAGAGACAGTAGTAACAATAGGCACGCTAATCTGATCAGTGCCAGTATAGGGAACCGTCGTTGTCACATAAGAAGGAGGTACGGAAGAGGAGGTCATAGCGGCCACTTGTTGGCCAGGCGTCTCAATAATGACAGTTCCAGGCTGGTCACCCTGAGGGAGAATAGTGCTCGTTATAGCCCCTGTGATCTGATCTGTACCGGTGTATAGCCTGGTGATGGTCACATATGAAGCAGGACCAGGCGTTGAGGTTACCGGCCGCAATTGCTGGCCTGGAGTCTCAATGATCACAGTACCGGGCTGATCACCTTGTGGAGGTATAGTGGTCGTGATTGGTTCTGTAATCTGGTCTGTCCCAGTGTAGAGTCTAGTGATAGTTACGTAAGTAGCAGGGGGAGGGGTGGTCGTCACAGGAGGCGCTTGCTGTCCTGGAGTCTCAATGATAACTGTACCGGGCTGGCCGTTGGTCGGCTCAATAGTCGTGATAGTGACAGGTTCTGTGATCCTGTCTGCTCCTGTGTAAGGTCGGTAAACAGTAACATAGGTGGCAAGAGGTCCAGCCGAGGTTGTGACAGGAGGCAAATCTTGATCAGGGGTCTCAATGATGACCGTTCCCGGCTGATCTCCTGAAGGCTCGATGGTTGTGACAGTAACGGGCGCAGTGATGCGGTCTGCCCCAGTGTGAGGGCGATAAACCGTAACATAAGTAGCTTGAGGAGGAGCGCTCGTTGCTGAATCAACAGGGGCCGGGGTAGAGGCAGGCTCAGACTCAACAGGAGTTTCGATGATGACAGTGCCGGGCTGACCATTGGCGGGTGCGATAGTTGTAATCGTGACAGGGCCAGTAATCACATCAGTACCCGTATGAGGTCGGAACACCGTAATGTAAGACTCATTAGGGCCAGCGGGCAAGGTCACTGTTGGATTAGAGCCAGGAGTTTCCGGTTCAGGAGTCTCAATGATAACTGTTCCGGGCTGGCCACCTGAAGGTGCAATGGTACTAACGGTGACAGGTGCAGTGATGACCCCAGTACCTGTGTATGGTCTGTAGACAGTAATATACTGATCGCCTGGGCCAGGATCGAGGGTAAGCGGAGGCTGAGCAACCTTCGTGTTGACATCTGGAGTAGGTGTCTCGATGACAACAGTTCCTGGGTTCCCGTTGGAGGGCTCGATAGTTGTAACCGTGATAGGCTGATCTATATTTCCTGGTCCAGGATATGGACGATATTCGGTGACATAGGTACTGCCAGGGCTTGTAGGGCCAGTGCTAGGTGCGTTAGTATCCTGGGCCGCGGGAGTCTCGATAATGATTGTTCCCGGCTGTCCATTGACGCCTTGGATAGTAGTTACGGTCACAGGTGCCGTAATGACATCACTTCCTGTATGTGGTCTATAGACAGTGATGTAGGAGCTGTCTGGACCGGGTGGAATAGTCACAGGTGCAGCCTCGGTAGATTCATCTGTCGAGGTTGCCGCCTGAGGTACTGGTGTCTCAATAATGATGGTTCCGGGCTGACCGTTAACTCCTTCAATAGTAGTAACCGTCATAGGTGCCGTGATAATGTCAGTACCCGTATGAGGTCTATAAACCGTCACGTACGAATTTCCGGGTCCTGGTGGAACGGTGACAGGCGCAGCATCACTAGTTGTGGTCGTTGGATCCTGAGGCACAGGTGTCTCGACGATGATAGTTCCTGGTTGACCATTAGAGGGAGGGATGGTAGAGACAGTAATAGCCGCTGTAATGAGACCAGTGCCAGTGTATGGCCGAAAGACCGTGATATAACCATCAGTTCCCTGAGTAGAAGTAACTTCGGGTGCTAAGGTGGTCTCCGGCGCGGCTTGAGGCACAGGTGTCTCAATTATGACCGTTCCAGGCTGGCCATTAGTTGGTGCAACAGTTCCAACGGTAAGAGGGGCGGTGATTGTTCCAGGTCCTGGGTAAGGTCTGTATACAGTCACATAGCCAGCGTTATCAGCGGGAATGGTGACAGCAGAAGCTGTGGTCTGGGGCTCATCAGATGAGGAAGAAGTTGGAACCTCAGGAGCAGGTGTCTCGATGATCACAGTTCCAGGTTGACCATTAGTCGGCGCAATAGTGGTCACAGTGACTGGGGCTGTAATAACACCAGGACCGGGATACGGGCGGTAGACTGTCACGTATCCGTCTTGACCTTGGGGAATGGTGACAGGCGGGCTGTCTGTGGTTGTAGGCTGGGCCTCTGACTGAGACTCGGGTGCTGGCGTCTCAATGATCACGGTGCCAGGCTGTCCTCCTGAAGGTGCAATGGTAGTGACAGTAATTGGCACAGTGATCGGAGATCCAGTGTGTGGCCTATAGACAGTGACATAGTTGTTGTTGTCAGCCGGAATGGTAACTGGCGACGAAGAAGTTGGCGACGGGGCAAACTTGGTGTTGACCTCTAGTGTAGGTGTCTCGATGATGATCGTGCCTGGCTGGTCACCTGTGGGGGTCGCAGCAGTAATAGTGATAGGCTGATCAATGTTGCCGGGGCCAGGGTAGGGTTTATATACCGTGACATATGGATTGTTGCTCCCAGTGGGGACAGTAACTGGGCCTGTCTGGGTGGCAGTATTGGCATCAGGATTGGGAGTCTCGATGATAATTGTACCAGGCTGTCCAGAAACAGGGGCTTGAGTGTATGTGATGGGAGATGTAATCTGGCCAGGGCCGGGATGATAGATTGTCACATAAGAACCAGTCGGATCAGGAGGGATGGCAATAGGAGGAGTAGAACCATCAGTAGTTTGCGTTGTTGGAGTCGGCGTTTCTGTTGGCTGAGTCTCGATAAACACCGTACCAGGCTGGCCGTTGGAAGGAGCCTGAGTCAGGGTTATTGGTGCAGTGATCGTTCCAGGACCTGGGTAGGGCCTGTAGACTGTCACGTAGGTATCGGCACTAGAGCTCACTGGGACAGGTGTCTCAATAAGGACTGTTCCGGGCTGGTCATTAGATGGTGTCTTGGTAATAGTGATAGGTGCGGTGATTACACCTGGTCCTGGGAAAGGGGTGTAAATGGTGATATAGTTATCCGTAGTAAGGGCAGAAGTCTGGGGCTGGGCCGTAGTCTCAGGAGCCGGTGTCGTGATAAACACAGTTCCTGGGTTGCCACCAGACGGTGCCTGGGTGCGGGTAATAGGTGCAGTGATAATACCAGGACCCGGGAAGGGCAGGAAAACGGTCACATATTGATCATCACCAGGTGTAGTGGTTGCCACATTCTGCTGATCAGTGGACAGCGGTGCTGGCGTTGTGATGAAAACGGTTCCGGGCTGGCCGTTAGCAGGGGGCTGGGTACTTGTGATAGGAGCAGTAATTACACCTGGGCCGGGGAAGGGCAGGAATACTGTCACATAGCCATCTGGTCCTTGGGAAGTGGAAGTCAACCCGTTCATCTGCTTTGGTGTAGTGAATGCAGGAACAGGTGTAGTGATCCAAACAGTACCAGGCTGGCCATTGGCAGGCGGCTGGGTGCTTGTGATGGGTGCAGTGATCTCGCCTGGTCCTGGGTAAGGAACAAAAACTGTGACATAACCATCCGTTCCTTGAGACGTTGAAGTCAACCCGTTCATCTGCTTCGGTGTAGTGAACACAGGGACAGGTGTGGTAATGAAGACAGTACCAGGTTGGCCATTTGCTGGTGGCTGAGTCCTGGTGATGGGCGCAGTGATCTCGCCCGGTCCCGGATATGGGATAAAAACTGTCACATAGCCGTCTGTTCCAGAGGTTGTACTAGGAAGATTTGCCTCAGAAGATGTAGCAGGTAGAGGGGCTGGCGTTGTAATAAAAACAGTTCCAGGATTTCCACCTGAAGGGGCCTGTGTCCTGGTATAGGACGTGGTAATGACACCAGGTCCAGGGAACGGAAGATACACAGTGACATAACCATCAGGTCCCTGAGTAGTAGTAGGATCTGGCAATGATGTAGTCGTGGGGGTGTCCACAACAGGAGTCTGGATAATCACTGTACCCGGCTGCCCACCGGAAGGAGTGGCCTGCGTAACGGTAATGGGTGCCGTAATGATGCCTGGGCCGGGGAACGGTTCATAGACAGTGACATAGTTGTCGGTGCCAGAAACCGTTGAAGTGGGAGCGAACTTGACTGGTGGCGGTGTCTCTATGAAAACCGTGCCAGGATTTGTGCCAGATCCAGTGATTGTGGTAGTAAAGATGGCCGTAATAACACTCGTCCCGGTGTACTGTTCAGTGACCGTGACATATCCATCAGGGCCAGTCACCGTAACCATTGCAGTTGTGGGTTGAACCTTTATTGGAGGTGGAGTCTCAATAACAACTGCGGTAGATTGTTGACCTCCAGAAGCTGTCAAGGTGACGGTCTTCGTAACTGTGGTGCTGGAATCTGATCCAGGAGTGTAGATAGTGGCAGTGCCACCGGGGCCAGTGGCAGTGACCGTGAAGGGGCCTTGAGTCTCAATTATAACGGTTCCTGGCTGGCCATTCGAACCATTAATCGTTGTGACAGTGATAGGCTCAGAGATTGGGTCGCCCGTATGCGGTCGATATATGGTTGTGTATCCACCAGGGTTATCAGGTTGAACCGTCACGGTCGCACCAGGTTCAGTCTCAGTGACGGTGTCAGCTGGCGGGGCTGGAGTCTCAATAATGATGGTCCCAGGCTGTCCGTTTGAGGGAGACTGAGTGATGGTGATGGGGACGGTAATGGGGTCACCTGTATGAGGGCGGTAGATGGTGACATACGGGTTGTTCTTGCTGGGAGGGATGGTGATCGGTTGGCCACCCGCAGCAGGGGAAGTAACCGCATTCTGGCCCTTAGGGGTCTCAAGCGTTGGTATTGGTGTCTCAACGATGATAGTCCCCGGCTGGGTACCGCTGGGTTGGATGGTGATCGTGACCGGTGCGCTGATAGGGCTTCCACTATGTGGCCTATAGATAGTCACATAAGGGCTGTTACCTCCAGCAGGAATGGTAATAGGCCCACTTCCTGGTGCAGATGTGGTCGGATCAGGCGTCTCAATAATGATAGTGCCTGGTTGACCATTCGTACCTGGCTGGGTGAGCGTAATCGGAACCGAAATTGGATCACCGCTATGAGGTCGGAAAATAGTGACATATTGACCCGATCCAGCAGGAATAGTGAAAGGATCACCAGGGCCTCGGGTGATCTGTCCACCTCCAGACGGCACTGGAGTCTGGATGATGATTGTTCCAGGTTGGCCAGGAGCCCCAGTGATTGTGATTGTGTTAGGGACTGTGACAGCATTGGATCCTGTAGGACCTTGGATAATGGTCACGAAAGAGCCATCTTGACCAGGAGGAATTGTAATCTCGACATCGCCGGGTTGAGGGGCAGGAGTCTCGATAATAATAGTTCCTGGCTGACCACCAGAGGGTGCGATTGTGATAGTATTGGGTGCAGTTATAACACTGTTTGGCTGTCTAACAATGGTAATATAACCACTGCTAGGGTCAGATGGAAGCGTGATGACCTGCTGACCAGCGCGCACAGCTGGAGTCTCGATTATAATCGTTCCTGCGTTAGTACCAGATGGAGGCACAGTATACGTAACAGGTTCGGTAATCTGGTCGGAACCGGCGTGAGGCCTCAAGATCGTAGAATAAGGGTTATCGCCGCTGGGTGGAATAACCTGCGGTTGATTTTCAGGGAGATCACTATCTCCACCGGTGCCAGCTGAGCTCGAAGGTCCAGGCGTCTCGATGATGATTGTTCCATCCTGGCCGGCCGAGGTTGGGACAAGGATTGTGACAGGAGTTGAAATAGCAGAAGCTCCTGTGTATTGCCTGACAATCGTGGTGAAATGGCCACCGTCGCTTGGAGGAATCGTGACAGCACCACCGGGGTTCTGGTTACCTGGAGGGATCTGGACAACTACTGTGCCCTGATCGCCTCCAGAACCAACAATGGTGGAAACTCGAGCCTGGGTGATGTACTCAGTTCCGGTGTATGTTTGAATCACCAAAACATTGGATGTACTGCCTCCAGCGTTGCCACCAACGGCACCACCAGCGCCAGCACCTCCAACGCCAGGAGTGCTTGGTGGCACGTCTGCCCAAGGAGTCTGGATAACAACAGTCGCAGGGGCATTTCCGGCCGCTGGAATTGTCCTCGTAGCCTCGCCAGTAATGGCAACACCACTAGGCAATGCCGAAATAATCGTGGCTGTCGGGTTGTCGTTTGAAGGAGGGATTGTCAACGCGCCGGCTTGGCCAGATGAGAAAGAAGAATAAGCAGTACCAGGAACATCAACGATAATAGTACCCGGGTTTGTTCCCGAGGGTTCGGCAATTGTGATTTCCTGATTTGTAGTGGCATCATTACCTCCAGTATAGGCCTGGATAATCCTTTCATAAGGATCATTACGGGTCGGAGCAAGCGTAATTCTTGGGTGTGGAAGGAGTGTCACGGGGAATAGTACTCCTCCGGGGCGAGTGTATGTCTCGACAGTAACTTGGCCCTGTATGACCTGAGTGACGGTGGCATCGTTGTCGGCTGCATTCTGTTGCTTGTCGAGTAAACTCGCATCGAAAGCTTGGCCCTGATTTCCACCGCTTCCAGCATCACCAGAACCTCCTGAATCTTCGTTGAGAGTAGTATAAGCATGTTGAATGAGAGTCTCCGCAAATCCTGTAGCAATGTTGACTGCGGCTTGGTCGATACCATCTTGTGCCTTGACGGCGAGAAGGAGTGTAGAGGCTAGCAGCCCCCGTGACAACAACATGGTGTGAGTTGTCGTCGGAGACGCAGCTAGCAAATTAATTTGGTGTTGGAGAGAGTCCGTATGAGGCTTCAAGCTCCATTCCGAGGCATCCTCATCGTTTATAAGAACTCGAGAGACGGACACGATCACCCGGTACGCCTACACTGCCTCGTGTGGCTCTCATCGGCCTGTCTGTTTTCGTCGCTGTAGTTCACAGAGCCGGTCTCTACGATGGGCTGTTCTCGCCCAGGTCCGCATTCCCAATCCATATTCCCAGGACGTTCTGGAGGAGCCAGGAATGTCGTCATTGAGCTAGGAGCTCATCTTGTCCTAGAGGATCTCTGTAGCGATCGTTGCCAGCCTCGTTGGGCGGGTTGTTAGGTCCGAAGAATTTCGCCCTGAATGGACCTGCATGCGCCGGGCCATGATTGGGCCATGTCTCACGTAGACAGCTTGGATCTAAGCTATTGGGGCTATAGACTGGAACGTGCCGCACCGATCGGGATAGAGATCTTAGGCGTAGATCGTGTGGGTCAGGGGGGAGTCCATCTTTTTGCGTTTGTCTTGGGTGAAAGCGTGCAAGCCCCAGGCGCCACAGACGCCACATATCAGGGCCTTAAGGGGAACCAACATCATCACGAACTGATCTGGACTGCAAGGATCTCACCTCAATCCGTCTTTTTAGAGTTGCCTAGAAGTAAGGTTTGCTTCGGACCTGGATGCCAAGCCTGGTCGATCTAACCAGTTGCGGCTTTCACTCTGTTGATATCTCGCTTTCATTTGATATAAGGCGTCACGTAAAGAGTTTATTGACGTGACAGAAGCAACCTATTGGTCAAGAATCAAGCCAAGTCGAATTATAGAAACTGTATCTAGACACTTACCAAGGAGGCTGTCGAAAAGATTCCTTACCAACAAACTGTTGACATAGATGATAGTCTGCACGAATTTCAATGACCGATGACCCTCGATCGCAAGATGGCTTCATCCTCTGAATACACCGTCAATGTATGACGTCGAATAATGCCGATCTCATCGCTCTCAATGGATTCATATTGGTCAAAGGAACGTGATCGTCAGGTTAACCATTCTCTGTACTTTTGAGAGACATTTCCGTTTTAGCCATCATTGTTTGCTCGTGTTCCTGGGCAAGACATCAGAAACTGTCTCAATCACCACAATGCCCATAATAGGTATCAGGATCTTGCTCGTGTCTCGGGGGGGTCCATTACATCGGTCAGAGAGGCGAAGCCTCTCCCGTTAACAATTACATTCTGCCCGTGTGGCAACTGACTTATTACAAATCAAACTACGAATTTTCAATGCACTATTGGCCTTCGTGCAAACTCTCTTTTTACTCATGTCAATTCATTTTCAACTGTTTCTTTCTGTAAGCCTCCAAGCCGAGCGCCAGGCTCATGGGAGCTTCATGAGTCTCGGCCCTGCCAAGATTGGTAGTTGGTGTAAGCTATTGATAAATATAAGAACCTAGGAGTCAGCAGCTTGGAGCTGGTAGCCGGGCAGTCTGTATTTGACAGAAACTTAACGAGAGCTTCGGTAAACCCGCTTTGTAGCCGTTCGATAGTTTAACTCAATTTACTCACTTTAAGCATCTTTAAGCATCTTTAAGCATCTTTAAGCATCTTTATCATTCCCAGGACAGCTTTGTTCCCGATAGTCGATTGAGGTCTCTCCCCGTCCTGTAGTCACTGTCTTGTAAAGGACTAAATTCAATAAGTAGTAGGGTAGGTATACAGTAGTGAAATTTGACAAACGATAATAATAGCATACCCTAAGCGTTTAACTTTCCAGACCGAGAGTTAATATTTTAATTTAGGTAGTTTGCAAAATGCCTGACTTTTAAGAAGTATTTTATTATTCTTAAGAATTACATTTAAATATATTTACTTATAAACTTATAGAAATTAATATTCCTTAAGTATATAACTGCTTATTTAATATAAAAATAGTAAAAATTTATATAATTTACTTAATAGCTACTATACCTTATAATTAATAAACTAATATAGCGCATTATTAATATAATAAAGGGAAAACTTATTACTATATATGATAAGTGTTATAAAGGGCATTAATAAACCATATCAGATGCCAAAAAGGTGATGAAGCGACGCAGGCCTGATTCGAACAGACGCCTCCGAAGAGAATAGATTTCTAGTCTATCGCATTAGACCACTCTGCCACTGCGCCTTTTGCTTACACTTTTCTCTCCGACTCTCCACACATCTTGGTGGGGTCACGGCAAAGGCCGGCCGCTTGACCCAACTCATTCCCGAGGCAGGGTGATTTTTTGAGAATACGAAATATACATGACAATTTGTTCTCGGGATTGCCCAAATTTGATATTCTTCCTGTCTCAGATGTGTCCGCTAGCATTGCACATTAATGTCTCACCCTGATACAAGCAAGACAGTTCTTCTCCAGCAACGAATACAGTTCATTGTCCTCATTGTGTCTACTGAGTCTAGACCTTTATTGATGAAAACGTTGCCCAGCCACAGCAGATTGTCGAAATTTCGTGGTAATCAAACAGACTCAGATTTCCAAAGACAATCTAAGAAGATACGAAGAATGATCAAGAAGTCCCGGTTTCTTGCTAAATTAGGTATAGATGAAGTATAACATCTCTCCAAGTTAAAACCTCGGCAACAACACTTTACCATCTACGTAAGGATACCGGCTGAATTGTTTTCGCTTCCCTTCAGTTATAGCCTAGAGGCATACGCCAGAAGACGATTTCACGCTAGATAAATATCAAAGTTAATCCATTGTTTTGGTGTTCGTAAGCTACTCGTTCCATATGACCCTTCTCCAGAGCTCACTACATCCGAGCCGTAACAAAACAGTCACATTGGCTAGAATAGCCTGGCGATGTATGAGGTTCACTAACTAGGGTAGCGTATGCATCATTATTTAGTTAAATTGATCTAGCTCGGCAACCAACGTTAGTTCTACAAAGTAGAAAACATCTAGTTACCTATGTAAATAATTTTCCTTTGCACAGGCTCGACACTTTCCGCTCGAAGGCTCAGCAAGGAAGAGTTCCCCGCAGAACGACCCCGCGCGAGGGGACTTGCAGAGCTTCCAGCATGTCGCGATAAGATTTTAAGCGATAGAAAAGAAATATAGTATCAGTGAGCAATTGCTTGCAGTATCATATAACCTAAAGACTATTCTGTGTCTAAAACCTAGAAAAGATTCTGCAAGTAGAATTCTAGTCGCCATAAGCCTGAGAGCGGAGAAACTTTGCCCCGATCGGCATCGAAAACCCCGCCAAAATTTAGGTTTTTTCTTCTTGCTACAGGACGTTGACGTACAAGCGTCAAGGCGTATCTTGCTTTGCACTCGCAAATCCATTCACCATGCACCACGTCCTGATCGGCGAGTCGTGCTACACGGCTTCTGAAGTCCAGAAGCTCGTGCAGCGCATCAATGATCAGAGTCCCGTCAAGGTTGCTAAGCTCACGGGCTCCTGGCAATACTACGTCGACCTCGAGACTGAGGATGCCGCCGTTCTCGGCAGCATTAAGAAGATCCTCGAGGCCATTGAGCAGCCTGCAGATGCTCCCTCAACAGGCGACAACAAGAATGCCATCGATATCTACGTCAGCCCTCGAAACGTTTCCCCATGGAGCTCGAAAGCTACCAGCATCGCCCTCGTCTGCGATCTCAAGACCGTTAACCGCATCGAACGAGGTCGAGTCATCCATATCGAGCTCGAGGATGGTTCCAAGGGAGAGGAGGATTTGGGTTTCCGAGACATTCTGCATGATCGCATGACAGAATTCTTCAGCCTTTCTCCACCGGCACTCGATACCATGTTCGCTCATGGTGCTCGAAACCCTCTCGTTGTTGTCGACATCTTTTCCGATGAGCGCGGTCCCTTGGCCGCTCTCCAGGAACATAACAAACAGGCTGGGCTTGGTCTCGACCAACCCAACATGGAGTACTTGGTTAAACAGTACACTACTCTTGGTCGATCTCCTGTATGACTCATAAGTCCGACGTTGAAAATCAATTACTGATTTCAGTAGAACGACGTTGAGCTGTTCATGTTTGCTCAGGTCAACTCTGAGCACTGCCGGCATCATGTCTTTAATGCTTCGTGGACAATTGACGGCGTCAGCCAGGAGAACAGCTTGTTCGGCATGATTAAAAACACCCATAAATTAAATCCCGAATATGTCATCAGCGCTTATTCTGATAACGCGGCCGTGTAAGTCTTAGTTACACAAATACAATTCCGGTTGGAGATCAAGTATTCGGAATTGTTTGCTAACATTCACTCATAGCCTTTCCGGTGACGAGGGTAACTACTGGGCTCCAGACTATTCCACCGGAAGCTGGAAGCTCACCCGCGAGATTGTCCAGCCTCTCATCAAGGTTGAAACGCATAACCATCCCACTGCCATCTCCCCCTTTCCCGGTGCCGCGACTGGAAGTGGTGGCGAGATTCGAGATGAGGGTGCTGTTGGACGTGGCTCTTCTCCCAAAGCTGGTCTTGCCGGTTTCTGGGTTTCTGATCTCTTGATTCCCGGCAACAAGAGGCCATGGGAGCTTGATATTGGACGTCCCTCTCACTACGCCTCCAGTCTTGACATTATGCTGGAGGCCCCTATTGGCTCTGCTCGCTTCAACAACGAGTTTGGTCGTCCTGCCTTGACCGGTACTTTCCGTACTCTTCTCACCAACGAGGCCGGATCCGACGCTCCAGAGTACAGAGGATACCACAAGCCAATCATGATTGCTGGTGGCATCGGTAGCGTTCGACCCCAACATGCTCTCAAGGAAGAGAGCCATGTTGAAGAGGGCGCCCATGTTATTGTCCTGGGTGGACCTGCTATGCTGATTGGTCTTGGTGGTGGTGCCGCCTCCTCCAATACTGGCAGCGATGCCACAGCGGATCTCGACTTCGACAGTGTTCAGCGTGGAAACCCCGAAATGGAGCGACGAGCCCAGATGGTCATCAACACTTGCGTCGCCCTTGGACCAGAAAGTCC